GTTGCTCGCAAGTCTACGACTTGTTACCATTCCTCGACCTGTTGCACCGCATCGAAGCAATGGAATAAAATCCTTGATCAAGGGTATTCGCGATTAAGACAATGACAATTACCCAACCCCTCCCAAGTTTGAAGCCGACCTTCGTTCCACCATGTCATCACTTCTCTAAATTTGCCTACTTACTTAGACGTGCCTCAGCTAGTTGCGCTGTGACAGGTTATCAGCTAGTTCAACAACCATCTTGTTCGATGACATCTTCAAGGGGGAGAGGCATTAGCGTTCCTCATGAATAATGGTAAAGAACTGCGCATTTCTGGCATGTGCAACTAAACATATTGTGTAGTTTACCTATATTTTTTAGCTTCAGTTCGTGCAATCTATCCGACGTTAACGGATTATTTTCAAGTTGTAGGAAGAGGCTACCCCGAACAGCCGTTAATATACAATACGTATTGTAGTTGATTCCCTTTGGAAACTGCGGATTAGTGTAGAATAAGACATCTTTCTTGCTGATGTCTTTATATGATTTTAGAGTTTGGGAGTTTGACGACAACGATGGCTAATAAAATCACCCATTTTGTTCCGTGCCAAGCTCTCAGGTTCCATCTTTAGGAAGAATCAAGCAGTCGAACAGCATGCGGAAGCGTAAATGTGCTTTGTAGTGTCTTGCCCAAGATCATTAATTCTTCAAATTTTGTAAAACACTAAAAACAAGATTCAAGTTGATAGATTTCAAACTGAATTGAATATCCTCGTCGCGGCGGTGTTCAGTGTATTCCTGCAGGAAGCACTGCTACTGTTGTGTCAGTATGAAACCCCCTTGTAGGAGTTAGATAATATAGGAGAGTAGCACGTTAGGAGTCTTCAATTAACTGTAACTGTAGTTGCTGTTACTCATAGAATTGTACACGTAACTGTGTCAGTAACGATGATTGAACTTCGACTTGTTTCAACATTGTTAAGTTTTTTTCCGTTTTCCAGTCCTTCACAGTATTCCTTGAGGCAACTATCTAAGTAGTTCAAAGCAAATGCAACGGTGCGCTAATACCGTATTCTAACTTCACATTTATGAGCCGATTGTGGCAAGTATGCCGCCCGATACCGATTTGAGGCAGTCTCGTGCACAAATCACTGTAATACCGTCATCTTCGTATTGTGATGAGTCACTGGCTGATACGGGCGTACATTCATTCTCCGATATTACTGTAATACATTATAAGAAATTGTATTTAGCTCAAAACATGATTAACCTTCACGTCTTCACTTTTCATGACCGCTTCTCCTCTCTGGTGGCGCAGATAGACACGTCAGATACTGTTTCCAACGTTTACGATCCTGTGCCAGCGTCTGAATTCCGGCTGAAGAAGCCGGAGTCTAGACCAGACTCTTTAAGCACACTTAAAGAAGCTTAATATTGATCGTCTCCTGGGTGTTCTACTGGTCGGCAAGACAAATAATAGTTGCTTTGGCTTCTTTTCTAAAAACATTCCTAACACGTACCAGAGCCATCGCGGCTGTGACAAATCAATCTCTAGAAGCACCTGTGTACACCCTGGCTCTCTCAGATATCCGTACTCCGGCCATGTCGAAACGTGCAACGCCAGCGACTCGTTTCAGAAAGCCTATTTCAGCCGTTTGTACCAGGAATCGAAATTTTTCAGTCATGATCAACCACCGATGACCGTAGGTTGCCATGTGGATGAAGATTGACTTTAACACCGAGAGGTTTCCTCCGATTTAGTCACTTCGCTTCCGGCTGGTTCACGCAGAACGCCACTGGCTACTCCAATCTGCTGGTCGATCTAAAATTTTCCGTCACCAGTAAACACGATCTCAAAGTACTT